AAAATTAAGGCATTATGGAATTGCTTTGGATTACGAAGAAATGCTTCGTATTACGAAGGATTTTGCTTCATAATACGAAGCATTTCTTCGTAGATTTTAAAATGCCTTCATTTTATTCGTATTACGAAGCGATTCTTCGTAGAGCTTTTACTGTGTACTTTCTTTGTAAATTTTGACTTTTACCATTTTCTGAGAAACATTTTGACTTTCACAAATTTTTCCGTTCCTTTTTTCTCACTTGTCCCTCGTCGGCATGCTCGAGGGATCGCCGTTTAAAGCGGGGGCTGTGCCGCTTAAAACGTGGCTTCATGGGTACGCGGTCCCAAGGGTGGCACCACCATGGTGGGCCCAGCCCAGATTTGAGGCCGAAACATTAAATTACCACGGGAGATGGGCAAGGCCATTACACAAGCTGCACTTGCCATATCAACTCGGACCAGTGGCCGAGCTGCCCGGCAATAAACATAATGGCTTCCAAAGAGATTACAGAAAAATCCCAGCCGGGGGCGGATTTTTCTAAATTCATAATTTGCTGGGGCGGTTGAGAAGGGGCAAGGCCCCCTCCTGTGCCAAGGTCAACAGAGAGGTTCTTGTCTGGCTGGGCCTCGGGTTGGTTAGGGGCACGTGCCTGGGCCCGGGCAGATGCTTCCATTGTTGCTCCTTGTTTCTGCGTTGTCCTTTCAATCCTCCCCTCCGCTCGGTGCCCGCTGGCTGTTGAGTCGCGACACGCCTCTCCCAGAAGACCGTTTCCGAGTGAGGAGTAGGTATCTCTCTCGCACTCGTAGGGCGTCCCGTAATGGTGCGAGAGAGACAGGAGAAGCGCTGCTCAGAATCACTCCGCCTCGGGCGCGGCCCGCTCCACAGTGGGCCAGAAGACCGGTGGTGGCGGACAAAACTCTAGACGCGTTTTGAGCTCCACCGTCGCTAAATGGGACTCGAATCGAATGTGTGACCCCACCAATGGATTGCTCTCCGCACGAGGAATCCATTGGTGGGGTCACTCGTCCAGTTCGAGGCCCATTTAGCGACTCTGGAGCTCAAAACACGTCAAGAGTTTTGGCCACCTCCACCGGTCTTCTGGCCCACTGTGCGCCGCCCGGCCGGCCTGCCAGCTTACCGAGGGATTTTGCCGCCACTTGCCATGGGACTGACGTCGGCAGACTAAGGCGGGCGGCGCTGCGTCGCGCTGCGTGCGGCGCGGCAAATGTCAATATTTGGCGAGTTCGACATCCATCGGTCGTGCCGTGCAGCTGGGACGTCGCGTCGGGGAGACTGTCCCCTTTCTGTTTTTCGACCACACTGGTAAAGCGGGAGCGTCGCTCTGGAGTCAAGAGTTCAGTGACGCTGGTTAAAGACGCACAGTGGGCCAGAAGACCGGTGAAGGCGGCCAAAACTCAAGACGTGGTTTGAGCACCAGTAGTCGCTAAAAGGGACTCGAACCGAACGTGTGACCCCACCAATGGATTCGTCGTTCGGCGAGCAATCCATTGATGGGGTCACACGCTCGGTTCGAGTCCTATTTATCATTGACTCTGGAGCACTACATGCGTCAAGTGTTTTGAATGCCGCGGACAGTCATCCGCCCCACTGTGAGACGTTA